AGGAAATAAGAGGGTGCCTGAGCTGATTTAGTTTATAACTGTGTACAATTCATCAGACTGGAGTTAGAGTTAAACACATACCAAATCAGCAGAAACTGCAGTTGTGATGAGGGAGTATGGTCCATTGACTAACCCTCCACACACCAGCAGCATGCCTGGAACACACACAGTCATGGAGTTATGGAGTACAGCCACCCACGTCCACTGTGCTCCTTTCTAACTCAATATTCCCCCTCATGCTGAAATATATCTGGCATTTTGATCAAGTGTATGGTGCTTCAGTTTGCGAGCTGAGAGCAGTACAGCAGCAGCTATGCTTCCCTGAGTCAGAGTGTGTTGTTGTATTGATACTGCAGCTCACCCTCTGCTCTATCACACCGTGTCATCACAAACTCCTGCAGGTATTGTGAGGTAATGAGCTGCAGCTCGGTGTGAATGATTAAAGAGTCGTCAGGGAGCCAGTGTCTGAATGAGACGCTGATGCTCATTAAAACGTATCAACCAATGAGCATGGGATCAATTTAGCCAGGTCGTGGGACCTCATTCATCTGGATCCATAAATAGCAGCTGGACACACAGAGGGATGAATGCTGGTATGTTGGTATGTTGTTGATATAGTAATATAAATCCTAAACTGTGTTCAGGACTGTTAAGAGAAGACAGAATTTTAAAACACAAACCTATCTGAAAAAGCTTTGCTTTTACAAACCAAACAACTGGGAAGGAGTGTGTAAACATTTTGTTATTGATTTGACCATATCATTGAGAAAAGGTTAGGTCAGAGAGACTGTCCCGACCAGAGCTTCTGGTAAGGTCACTGCTTTCCCTCACTGTAGGAAGTGACTCACTATATTCTGAAGTGTATTTCTAAAACGAAATAAAAGTGCATGCAAAACATTTCTCGGAACAAGGTCCTTTTTGCATCATAAAAAACCTTTTTAATCATCACTTAATACTAAATAAATCTGTATGAATTCAACTCCCCCACCCCCAACCCCCACCTCTACCAAAACGAAGCCATTCATTAAATGAGCACATAACAACAGCATTGGTGTAGTTTAGCTTCATTTTGATAACCCACAACCCATTGCTTCTCTAAAGAATCAGTGAATAAAAACGAATGGACATCCTGTCCTCAGCAGAGAGAGATCTTACCGATGGTTGGCCCAAACCCAAACTCGCTGATCATGGAGAAGCCATACAGCTGCAGGACAGAGAGAAAACACGGGTCAAACACTCACACGCTCAACCACTGTTCACACTCAATTGTACACCAGCCTGATGTTACATTCATTTCAGTGAAAGGAGAAAATGTAAAGAGGCATATCTGGTTTGAATTGGTCCACCACTGTGACTGGAGCCTCTTTGGTTATCAGAAACAGCTTCAGTAGCCCTAATACGCCTTTCTCTTCATGGACACAAACAAAAAACACTGTGTAATCTGTCTACGCTCCGCTGCTAACAAACCAACACATTTGGCCTCAGTAAGAATGTTTGCTTTAAGTACAGCACAGCAGAGGAGCATGTTTAAAACCGTGAGTCTGAAACCATAAGGAAGAGAAATCTAACAATGTTGAATTACTAACATAGTTAGAAGCCACTATGTTTGATGTCACAACCCTCACTGTAGGAGCAGCCCAGCAGCGCAGATGACTGCACAGGTGGTGGCTCTCTTCCCCAGCGGATCAGAGAGCACGCCGGCCAGGATCCCCCCTGGCAACACCACACACACACACACACAACACCCACAACACACACACACACACCACACACACACACACACACACACACACACACACACACACACAAACACACACACACACACACACACACCCACACACCACACACCCACACACACACACACAGCACACACACACACACACACAACACACACACACACACACCACACACACACACACACACACCACACCACACACACCACCACACACACACACACACACACACACACACACCACACACACACACACACACACACACACACCACACACAACACACACACACACACACACACACACACACACACACACACACAACACACACACACACACACACAGCAAATAGAAAAGTTAGATGCACACACCCACACTAACCTCTGTCTAGATAAGAGCAAGATAAAACATATTAAAGTTTGAACAAAAGCACCTACCCACTATTCCTCCCACGTCAAACAGGGTGGAGAGATCTCCAGCCTTCTTTGCATCGAGGTGAGCTGACACACACACACACACACATTATTTAGAGTCATTGCCGTGTCTATTGATTTGAACACGATCCGTGTATCCATCATTTCCTGGTCTTCTCTAAAGAAGAGGGACCAATGAAAACGTTGTTCATTTTGCTGTTGTTCAGCATCGAAACATTCATTAGCTAACAATGACATTATTGTTCTATTAATATAAAGTGAGGTCAGTTACAGTTGGTAGTTATGGGTACGTTTTACTTAAAGGGCACCTATCATGCAAAATGCACTTTTGTACGTCTTTTATACATGAATATGTGTCCCCGGTGTTCAGGGAACTCACCAAGTGTCAGAAAAACACAACCCTCTCTCTTTTCCTCCATACCCCAAATCTCTAAAAACGGGGCTGATACAGACTGATCCAGATATGAACATTTCTCTGACGTCAGGACGGAGGAGCTACGCCTATATGGCCAACTCTCCACCTATCAGGGGGAATGAGAGGTTGCGTGGCATGGTAACAGCATGTAGCGCGTTCACACTGGAGTACTTTTCCCACAATAGTTCATCAGAACTACGATATATTTGCGTTCACACCAAAAGCCTCAGGAACTAAATGAGTTCATCAGAACAATTTTTACCCGCTTTTCAGTCCCTGCTAGAGAACAGGGACTTTCGTGGGAGAAAATAGTTCACACGTCTGATTGGCTGTGCGGAATGCAAACCATGCCCCGGTTTAACTCTGAATTTTTTTTTTGGAGCGGCCATTGCATTTGCTGGCGCACCAACGAGAGTAACTTTTGTGAAAGCAGTTATTATGGCAACAATAAGAATACAAAAATCATTGGAGCGGTGGAGTGATGAGGATGTGTCGGCACGTCTGGCGATTACTCGGAGGATGGGATCCAGCAGCTTCTACCTGAAGGCAGTTTCCAACTGCAAAATGTATCGGTGTTGTTCGGTTAAAGTTAGCCGACATGGGAATCTTCCACAGCGCACACTCATGCCGGGACAAATAAAGAAACTAAAGCAGGACTACAAACAAATAAAAGACCATAATAACAAGAGTGGTAACGGCCGGAAGACCCGTAAATGGTATGATCGATTTGGATGCTCTGCTCGGCCACCAGACCCTCATTCTCCGGCACTTGTGGTGAAAACGGCGGATTCAGTGGCCTGGAATTGTCCAACGACTACGAAGGTAAAATAAACTACATGCACTGCACTGTTTTAACTCTGCACAATACTGGGTCTCAGATGTACTTTTATTTGCTCAGTAGATCGAGCTAGCCATGCTAGCCAGAACTGGCTAACACTGCTAGCCAGTTCAGCCTAGCATGGCTAATAACATCATTCTCGGCCGCTATGGAAAACGTTTTTTGACTTGTGAATAAGTGTGTAATGTTTTCTGTAATTTGCTTCACTAAACTCATGGCACTAATCGTGTGTTTCAGGCGAAGCAGGACAACTCTCTGGATTGGAAACAAGTGAGCTTTCCCCTCCGGATCACAACAGCAGCACTTTCTCGTCTCCTTTTCAACCATCCAAACACACTGTAACTACTCTGGTCTTGAAAGAACGTTACGCATCAAACTGATGTCCACTAATCACGTTTATTTCCTTCTTGGTACAATTATGAAACACCGTGAAAATACATCGTTTACACTTTAAGCGCCCTTTTCACTCTCTCATAAACATCCGGGCTAGAGGTCACATGACTTCCGGTAAGAAAACTTAGTTCAAGCGTACATTAAGCACTCTAAAAAAATATAAAACAATAAATAAGGGCACTTTGAGCGTCAGCTATTTGAGTGCTATCTTATCTTCTACTTTACACCTGCATTTTGTACACTGTCCCTGTCTGCACCCTGTCCAATGTTGTCTCTGTTGACAACCTGCTAGTAAACAAATTCCTAGTATGTTATAGAACTTCATGGCGATTAATCTGATCTTGTATATTTCTCCTCATAGGAAAGCGGGCACGGGATGACAGCTTCCTTGACACCATCATGGCGATGGACTGCCGTGCCATGGTCAGCACAGGAGAATGAGGACCTGCGTGCCAAGGAGATGCACGACGAACGGCTGCTACATTCACACAAGGCCCAGGAATCGGACGACCAGCTGCTCATGGTGATGCAGCGCCATGCTGACTTCGGCGGCGCGCCAGGCTGCGCGCCAGGTGGATGGTGTCGGCGCGCCCGGTGGAGCAACAAAATACCTTTCAGGCTGGGCTTCTGGCAGTGCTAAGCGAGCTGATTAAATCCAACAGGCCTTCAATAAAAAATTAAGAAAAACTTGTCGTCGTTGATAAACTGTACAATGACTTGTTGGGAGGCGTTGGGTGGCAGTGGTCTGGTGCGTTGCTGTTCGGATCAGGGGAGCACAGGTTCAAACCCCACTGCAGTCAGCATGTCGTTGTGTCCCTGGACAGACACTTCACCCCAAATTGCCTACACCTGGGACAGTTCATTTTGTATTATTGTGATTATATATATATATGCCACTGTTATTAATACTGACAACTTCACTTTGCACTAAGGTGTGTCTGCTGCTGAGCCTACCTATTGAATATATATATATATATATATATATATATATATAATATATATATACTATATATATATATATATATATAATATATATATATATATATATATATATATATATATATATATATATATATATATATATATATGTTTTGATAATACTGACACTTAATTTGATATTGAAAATGTTAACTTCTATTTACATGCATACGACACACCTGGGACAGCGTGATGCTGTTTATTGATATTGTCTTGAGTGTGCAATAAAAGAGAACCCTACATGGCGATTAAACAGAGCCTGTATCTTACATTTTTCATTACATTTCATGTAACTAAGCTTGCTTATTTCTCCTCTGACACTTATCTTTACAGTGACCTGTGTAGCATCCTATACATCACATGTAAGTGATTATTCTGATACCGTCATGTTTCATCGGTTATAAACTGGCGAAGCTTTATTTATTGTGGCTTTCAAAAAAGATAATTTCATTGTATTTCAAAATGGCGCCCATCAACACAAGCACTATTTATTTATAGAAAGAGAAATGGTTAAAGTGGACCTATCATGCTATATTTGAATAATATAGTGTAGGACCATACCTATATAAGGCATATTTATACTTTTTTTTTTTCAAAATACCAAACAGATCATGCATTTTAGCCATGCCTCATTTCGCTCAATTTGAAAATGTTTAGCTCTGTTTGTGTAAGGGCAGATTCTGTGAGAACAGCACCATCTACTGGCCTGGCATATGTACTACAGCGTCTCCAGCGCTTTCGAACGGCAATGGCCGTGGCTGTCTCCTCCTGATTGGTGGAGTTGGCCCAATAGCCGTAGCGCCACCGTCCTGACGTCAGGACAGTGTTCAAATCTGGATCAGTTTTTATCAGATCCGTTTGCAGCCCCTTTTTTAGAGATTTGGGTATGGAGGAAAATAGAGAGGGTTGTGTTTTCTGACACTTGTGAGTTCCCTGGAACACCGGGGACACATATTCATGTATAAAAGACGTACAAAAGTGCATTTTGCATGATAGGTCCCCTTTATGTTTGTAATTACCAGTGTTGTGAGTTCAATATTTTAATTAATTATAGTAAGGGAACATCTTAGGAGTTAGTGTAGTGAGTTTCAGAGCAGTGTAATAATTATTTGACCTAAAACTAAATGTTTTATGAACATGACATGGGGATTTGCTAACTTTGATTTCCCCCATTTTACACGACACAAATGGAGGCCACTATGGGCCAAAACTAACACGTAGGTTTCTGTAGGGTTCATGGCAGACGGATGCAGTTGCTCTCAGGAGGATATTAATAAAGGTGTGTTAGCTGCTGAGCCTATTTAGTGTGCATACGACACACCTGGCACAGTTTATTCATTTCCACACGTAGCGTAGCGCGTGCATGTCGTCGTCCAATCATTTTGTCAATCCTTCTTAAACCGCCTTCGCTTCCGAATCAGCATTGCTATTGCATTTGACTGGTCGACGATCTGTATTTGTGTTTGCTTAAATAACTCAGACGAAGCTCATGTCTGAGGTCGGAAGGTAAACAGACGCCTCATTTACAGCAGGTGGCGCGGCAGCAGTATACGCGGGAGGTTTTTCTTCTTCTTTTTCTCTCGGTTTTTGGCGGATTGCAACTTTAAGGTGCATACCGCCACCTACTGTACTCGCCGTGAAGTTGTTTGCGGCCTGCCAGTAAACCCCAAGCAGAAGAAGACGAAGTGACGTCAGCGGTTCATTTGCCTAATCCACCCCCAGGAACTCATTTTGGGTGTGTGAACGCGATCTGCTTTAGTTCATCAGAACTAAAAGAGCTCTCATGAACTATTGTGGGAAAAGTACTTGGTTGTGAACGCGCCTATGGTAACAGCATGGTAACATGACGCTCGTAACTCCGGCCCCCTCCTTTGCAGGGGGGCGTGGTCAGCTGCAGCACATGCAAAGACAGGGTGGAGGAGAGCAAAATAGAGCGAAATGAGGCATGGCTAAAATGCATGATCTGTTTGGTATTTTCAAAAAGAAAACGTATAAATATACCTTATATAAGTATGGCCCTACAATATATTATTCAAATATAGCATGATAGGTCCACTTTAAGTACATTTCGAAGCCCATACTTCTTTACTTTTACTTGAGTAAAGAAGTAATTTTCACCCGGAAGTGACGTAGGTGTTACTCTCATCTGTGATGGTAAAAAGCTTAAAAATAAAAAGAGGGGGCGGAGCTTATGCCTGCTCATGCGGGAGATTCTACTGGCAGATTGTCAGCTAAACACTGCTGTGATTAAATCCCATATCATGTTCAAAACCACATCATGGATTATTTCTGAAACAGTATGGAACTCAAATGCTTTTTCTCTTGCGGGTTTACCACAAGGTGAGTTCCTTTTTATATCCTGATTTTGTACACATACTCTCTCCAGTACAGGTTAGCTCTGAGTGTTAGCGATGCTAATGTAAACAAAGACCATATTACGTCCAAAACAGTCAGGCATTGTTTCTGATAGCAACGTTTCCGATAGGGCTGTGTGTGTAAAGCCAGCCCACATTTCCAATATTACGTCATATCGGCAGCAAATCTGGATCAGCTCCGTTGTACCCTCGTTTTTAGAGATTTGCGCACGGAGGAAAAGAGAGAGGGTTGTATTTTCTGACACTTTGTGAGTTCTCTGGCACACCGGGGGACACATATTTATGTATAAAAGACATCAAAAGTGAATTTTGCATAATAGGTCCCCTTTAACTTAAATCAACAACTTTAATCTCTCTTAGGTCGCATTCACACCAGCCTTGTTTAGTCCGGTTGAATCGAACCCTGGTGCATTTAGCCGCTTGGTGCGGTTCGTTTGGGTTTGTGTGAACACAGTCCGAGACCTCTGAAGTGAACTAAACAACCGGACTCTGGTCCACTTAAAAAAGGTGGTCTCGGACCGCTTGCAAGTGAACTCTGGAGCGGTTCATCGCTGGTGTGAAGGCAGTCCGCACCAAAAACATAGGAAGCACAGTATTTACGAGTCACAAGAACACGGATGTCTTCAAAATCTTTAGCGAAAGACTGAAGCAGAATGAAGAGTTGAACAGTGTCGTGTAAAAGTAAAAATGCTCCGTCAACTATACATACAAGTCAGAGCCACCTGTCGTCGGTGAAACTCCTCCTTACTGTAGAACGTCTCTCATTATATGTGTTATAATGTTTTTAACGCACGTTCTGATTATATAATCATATGCGCGGGCCACTAGTGTCTGTTGATATGCTCTCCAGATTAACAGCAGCATGAAAATAACCTGCCCGATGCTCCATGGAGGCTACGGTAAAAAATTGCCGGGATTTGCGTTTTTACCCCTTAATGTCTGACCAATCCTTGAACAGCATTTTCCGTGCACATGCCTTGTGTTTAAAGTTTATAGTCCGTTTGAGTTTCGCCTGTGTGAACGCAAACCGAACCTTCTGAAAAATGAAACAATGTAACAAAATGTCGTCTGGTGCGCACCAGAGAAGCGGACTATTAGGTGTGAATGCGACCTTAACGTCAGACAATGACCACCATCAAGAGCAGTCTCTCAGAGGACAAAGGACAGGGGTCAATGGGCTGGCACAAAATATAAGGTTTCCCCTTTGATTTGAGTTCATGAAAAAAAGTTTGGAAATTTGGAAAAAGATTCCCAGCCAGGTTCATAAAGAAACGGTTTCCTGTTAGTCGTGGAGTCTATTTGTTCAAACCCATTGAACTTTTATTTTCTGTGGGGGATGTCCAAGTTTCCATTTCCGATGGGGGGCAATGTGTATAAACACAAAGTATGTGACATGTTTGTGTTTAATGTAATGTTATAGCTCTAAGAATATGTCCACCTCCTGGGGTAAATACTGTATGCCCTAATGTTTAATATTGTATCAGTTAAACATTGAGAACAGGCACATACAGCAAAAAAAGAAAAAAAAAAGGATTCAATGGATTTACATTTTCTTGACATTACTTTGATTAGTTTATCAGTAAGAGATCCTCACCGGTCTTGGTGATGTAGAGCGGCAGCCAGAAGAGGAAGGTGTAGCTGACCAGCTTTGCAAACAGCAGACACAGAGAGAACTCGATCACTCCCTGCAGAGACAAAGAGCACACACACTAATAAAGGTTGTTTGGAAGAGTTGATTTATTGTGACTGAATGATAACTGTCATTATCAGTAAAAACATCCCACGGTAGCGACCTTGACCTGATGGACCAGTCTCATACAGACACAACTGGCAGCATATGTCACACAAGACATAAAGGGTTACTTTAACAATGCATTCTATTACTATTAACCTGTAAACATTTATATAGTAAAGTGTGTGTGTGTGTGTGTGTGTGTGTGTGTGTGTGTGTGTGTGTGTGTGTGTGTGTGTGTGTGTGTGTGTGTCACTGACTGGTATACGTAGAGCTCCCATGAAGCTGATGGCGGACGGTTCGGATTCCCTCTTCACCACCACGACGGTCTGCGCGGGGACACACACACTGTCGCGGGCAAACAACAGCTCTGTGTCGTAACTCTGCAGGAGAGGAGCAGAAGCATCAGGGCTGCAGGGGAAACACCCCTCACATGGACAATGAAGTCAACACCCAATCGTCAACAGTACCCTGGTTTTTATATTTTTCAGTGATTTTTTAGGCAGAAAGACCATGCAGGAACAGGATCATTTGAAACGGTGACCTCTGACACATTGTGTGGTAGTAAATCAAAGAGAGGAACAGAGGCATAATGGTTTGAGGAGTTATAGAGAGGATTTTATCCAAATAAGTCACCAGTTACACACCAACCACCACCTTTGTCAACCAATTTCAAATGCAAGCATTAATCAGCCTGTTGACTCTTTAGGTGTAATGGATGAACAGGGTCTGCCGTATAGACCAATGCATCAGGTGACAGAAAGATAAAACTGAAGTGGACAGAGCAATTGCATAAACCCGACCCAACTATATTTCCAAAGAAGTTCCAGAAACCCTGAGGCTGAACCCAAATGTTCCCACGTCCCCACAGCTGCACACTGGTGGACTTTGCCGGCTTTGCCGTTTTTTAATAAAAAAATATCATATTTATCAAGGTAACATGGATTCTATGATACTGTATGTGTTAATGATGTGCCACAACGGTTCAGTATATGTCTGTGAAAATAGTTAAAAGTTAATATATGAACATGACCTCGGTCATTTTTACATTGCGGATTTATCGTACAATATATGAACGAAAGCTCAATCATTTTTGCTGCCCTCCATATTGCTTGTTGTATTTATACATTAATCATCAGGGTTTTCACCAACAATTTAAGACATTGAATGTAAAATAGCTAGAGAGTCTATTTAATTGACTTTGTTAGTTGTGTGGTTTTATTTGATACATGTTTTATTAATTATTGTAGTGACCATTGTAGCTCAGTCCACAAGTCCAGAGGAGCACATTTGGATTCAAGCCTGAGTATAATTTCTTTGAGTTCCCTTCAGCCCCCCACAAAGCCTGACAGGTGGCATCTGCTGAAGCAGCCAGGAAACAAACAGCTGGAAGCACTGACACAACTGACCTTCCTGTTTTGAACACTATCCTCATAATAGCAGTACGCCTAAATGAGAAGAATTGGAGGATGAAAACCCTCTTAATGGTCACCATACATGCACACAGCACACACAGTGAAATGTGGTCACAGCATTTAACCCATCTTAGTGCTAGGAGCAGTGGGCAGCTATTGTACGGCACCGGGGAGCTATGGGGAGCGGAGGGGTCCATATTTAACACACACACACACACACACACACACACACACACACACACACACACACACACACACACACACACACACACAACACACACACACCACCACACCACACACACACACACCACACACCAACACACACACACACACACACACACACACACACACACACACACACACACACCACACACACACACCACACACACACACACACACACACACCCACACACACACACACACACACATCACACAACACACACACACCACACACACACCACACACACACACACACACACACACACACACACACACACACACACACACACACACACACACACACCACACACACACACACACACACACACACACACACACACACACACACACACACACACACACACACCTGGTTTTGGTTGTCCTTGTATTGATGATACACTTCAGTGTGTCCATTTATTCCGTTCCAACTCTTGGTTGGAACCTGCTTGAAGACAAAATAAACACATTATTACTCACACAAGCTCAAGGTCATGTTTTCAGCGATCAAAATGATAGTGTGTGTGTGTGTGTGTGTGTGTCAGAGTTGCCACTTAAGATATCTTTTGTTGGAGACAAACATGTGGAGACTGTAGCTATGGTGACTGTTGCCATGCTTCATGTTGAGTGCCCTCCATGTAAGTGGATTAAATATGCTTATTCATCAGAAGCTCTGCATGTGAGGCCAAGCTGCCCAGGTGACTTTGATAAACCAGTGAATGTATCTATCTCAATCCAACCCAGAACTCGAGGCCTGCAGGCATCAGTTGGGCATCAATCTCTAAACTGTACTCCACATCATTCCTTAGAATCACAATCAGGTTTATAGCCTTATACGTTTACACTTACAAGGAAATTGCTTTGGTGTATAATAGTGCTCCTCTCTAGAGCCGCTCACACATCAGGTGGATGGGCTCACCTGTCCCCTTAACTACGGAGCCCCTAAAGCAGGGATCACCAACTACATTTGTCCAAGGGCCAAAATGTATCCAATAGATACTTTAGCGGGCCATCGATGTTTATAGCCCAGAATTTTGAACTTTGTGGACCGGGGGGGGGGGGGGGGGGGGGGGGGCTGCTAGTGGAAGCACGCTCAGGTACTGCGGAGCACATAAAGCTTAGCAGACTCTTCACTCTGCACCGACCTCGATCGTAAGGCTTTACAGAGGGTGGTGAAAACTGCACAGCACATCACCAGGACGGAGCTGCCATCCATGGAGGGACCTTTACTCCCAGTGGCTCAGGAAGAAATCCCTCACTACGGATTATCAAAGACCCCCATCACCCCAGCCACAAACTGTTCTTTCTGTTGCCGTCTGGCAGACGTTACCGCACAGCATCCTGGCAAGGACAAGAAGATTCGGAGACAGTTGCTTCCCGCGGGCAGTGAGACTGTTTAAAAAATGGAACTGTTGAAACAACTTCAAACATTCATCTGCTACTCAGTAGTATGTATCTAATACCTAATATATATATATATATCATTCCAATAACTTGTATATAGACTCGTACTGCACTATTCCACATCATCACTTCATTTCATTTTTATAACTATTTTTCTTTTTGTATTGCTCTTGCTCTTATTGTTATTATGTTATTATGTTGCATTGTTGGAGAAGCCTGTGACATAAGATTTTCAACTACATAATTACTCTGTAGCTATGTCAGATTGACAATAAAGAACCTTGAACCTTGAACCTTGAACGCTAACAAAGGATCACTTCTAGGCAACTGTCCCGCAGCTGCTGCCTCTCTGTTGGACTCTGTTGGGGGGGGGGGTGCATGTACTGTGAAGTCGCCGGAGCATCGCAGCGGGGCTACTGCTGCGGAGCGCATAAAGCAGACTCTTCACAACGAAGGATCACTTCTTCTTCAGGGCAGGGAAGGCTACGCAGTACGCAGTCTACTGTCCCGCAGCTGCTGCCTCTCTGTTGGACTCCGGTACTGCACATTACTAAAAGAAATGAGTGGGGGGCGAACGCACTAACCACTCCACCAACGCCACAGTCACCCCCGTCGTGCCTGCCAGTTGATGGTCACTGCCCTAAAGGTTCATGAGGAAAAAAAAATAACTCTCTCGTGCGCACGATATACTTTGTTATGGTTAGACACATCGAACTGCAAGATTATTACGCCGTATTATTAGTTTTATGAAGATGTCCGGTCGCCAGGGCGTGTGTGTGTATGTGTGTGTGTGTGTGTGTGGGCATTTGTTTTAAGATATTAGGATAGTGTTGTTCATTCCGGTGCACTCCGACAGGACTAAGCACTACATCGAGATTAAGATTAAACGAACTTCTTTCACTTGGAAATACACATATACCTATGGAGTTGGCCAGATGTGTGTAAATTACTGTTCATGGTCATTTGAAAACAAATGCCGGTGTCGGACACACACAGTGTTGGGCAAGTTACTTCCAAAATGTAATACAGTACATATTACTTATTACTGTCTTAAGTTAAGTAATAAGTTACATTACAATATTACTGTCTCTGAAATGTAATGAGTTACACTACTTTTATATTACTTTTGAGTTACTTTACCAAAATAACCGCAAAAGAATGGCTAGGTATTTTAAATGCTAAAATGTTAGTTTAGTGCAGCTCATTATACATCCAGTGAAGGGCAATGTTGTATATTATAACAACTGTGTAGGCCCTTAAGGCTACCAACAACTTTTATTACACGGCTTGGTCAGGGTTCAAGCTATAAACTGAGCTCTATGGGGGTCTTTAAAACGAACACACACACACACACACACACACACAACAAACTTAAATATGAAAAGGTTCAACTACGCGCACACACATCATCTCGGCTCGCGCAGCACGCTCACAGGCATAGATTGCGCAATAATGTATTGCAAGGCAGACTGGTTTAGACTCTCCTGTCTTGCCGATCCGGTGCTTAAACAAATAGCTCTATACCTCTGGCCGAAATGTCCATAAAATGAAGTCCGAGTTTGAAATATATCTCAAATAATGTATGCACTGCCATTTCTCCACATAAACATAACAGTCTGCAATGAAACGGTTGTCTCCTCCTGTGCGCTCCACTTCCTACTTGGCGCTCCGGTGTATCTCGTGCGAAAGTATATCGTGTGCACGATATACTTTTTCGTGCACACGATATACTTTCTCGTGCTCACAAGATACTTTTTTCTTCTTCCATGAACCTTTAGGGGCTCCGTACTGTACAGGGTGGAACTAGTGAAAATATTCTCCTTTCATGTCTACCCCTGTATACCTCATTATTTTTATTCCACAGTATCTGTGTTATCTGCGAGACATCGCCAACAACGCAACGAGTCAGAATTCTCCGCTATGTCCACTGCATACAGCGCTCTGCATGTACGACTGTTCCACTGTCTGTGTGTGTCTGTCAACGCTTTGGTCCAATCACATTCAGCATCCCGTCAGCGTTTTTTCCCCCCACTAACAGTCTGCGAATCAGAGGCACAGTAGGGCGGGTCTTCGCGGAATGCGGGTGGGAAAAATGCGTGTCTCGTCTCTTTCAACCTGTCTGAGTCAGAGCAAGAGTTAACAGCTCATCTAGTTGCATCTGTACTGTAGCTAGTAGCCTAGTTTCACCTACCGGGGTGGCATGGGGTGGCAACTGCCACCCTAAAAATAGGCCTTGCCACCCCAGCTGCCACCCCAGTTGGCAGCTTTGTTTTGAAAGAAAAGTTGTGGCTCATCTGACATTGATGAGAGAAAGTCTCTAATGTCCAAGTGCAAGTGAATGCAGCACAAGACGCACGTCTTGTAACCCCTCCCCCGGCCCTGATTTCATTTGAACGGGACGCCGCAAAACGAGAAGCATTCGGACCCAAGTACTGAAGGAATGAGGTGCGGTCTACAATGACAGAGAAGAGACTGTCAAGTTTGGCTGTACTCAGCATTGAATCAAAAACGCACTAAAGCTGTTGATCTTAATAAGTTTGTGAGGCGTTTTGCTGAACAAGATGGTAATCGCCGCATTCAGCTGTAATAGACATGTCAACTTGATGCTCTGCTCACGGATGAGCATACACAACTGTTAAGATGATGATTGATTGAACTAGGCCAGTAGGTAAGGGCTTTCCACTGGATAATAACTGAAGTATAAAAGAATGCATGACTGAAGTGATGGAGGACCATGTTTGAAGGCAAACACGAAGAGGAAATAACAGGTCAAATCAAGCAAATCCCCCTCTCAGATTCCACAGCAACCAGAAGAACATAAATAACTGGCTGGTGATTTGATGAATCAGCTTTGTGATGGAATAAAAAATGCACAGTGCATTTCCTTAGCTGTGGATGAGTCCACTGACACCACTGACAATGCTCAGTTGCTGGTGTTTGTGAGTTTTTATGATGAGGCAAAGGGGGAGTTTGTTGAAGATGTGTTGGGCCTGACGAACCTCAGTGGACACACAAGGGGGCAAGACATTTATAAAGCAATAATGGGAATGCTGAATGAAAGAGGGTGCAGCTGCCTTTATTCATAACTGTGGCAGCTCTTACACTGCGACTCTGAGGGATTCAAGCACAGACACAATAACAATGAAAACTGCTGCATACAGATTATTTTTGTTTTTGCAACCTCGTGTTAAGAATCTTGTTGCAATTGTTTAAAAGTTTGAATGACCGTAATAAACTGACCTTTGTCTTATTGAAAAATGTATTTGGACCTTTAAGATTTGTATTTGAGTACCCCTGCACTACAAGATGCTGGTACAGATTACAGTTACACATACTGTATTGTCACAGTAAAGTGTCAGTTTCTTAATATACTTTATTTTTTGATGTTATAAAAGTTGTTCAAATGTAAAATAACGGCAACATCCTTTTTTTCTTTGAACATCCGTTTTGCTCTTATTGTGTTTATGTATGCACCATTTATTCAGCAAAGCAAATGATATATGAACAATATATAAATAATATATAATAATAAACTGGATTCTGATCCTGATTCTATAATTTGAGTTGTTACAAGAATTCACAGCCTGAATACAACGAAAGAAGCCAATCTAAAGTTTCCAATTACCAAAGAAAGAAACTCTACTCACACGCTTGCCTGGAGACGTATTTTGAGCATACATGCTTTTCAGGTCATTTGGATCTGAAAAGGGGAAAACATGGCATAAAGATGCTTTTCCATATACAGGTGAAGTCATGCTCACAGCCGATTCTGTTCTTCAGTGAGCAAACTAAAGAAACAGCTACAGAAAGCAAACTACTCCCACAGCGAGTTACACCAATTTCTCTATGTGGTTACAACATGTGCAAACTGCATACACAAGGAAAAACTCATTACGGCCACACACAAAACGATTCATATATTGTAGCCCTGGAGCCAATGGGGAGGCTGCACTTACGCTCAATGAGGAAGAAGAAGCAGACGACGCCCATGACTGCGATGATGATCCCCGGGACGATGAAGGACATGCCCCAGTTGGAGGAGACCCAGTAGCCGGCAATCAGAGAGCCCAGGATGTTTCCGACTGAGGTGTGAGAGTTCCACAGCCCCATGACGAGTCCCCGCCTGACACACCACACCACACACACACACCACACACACACACACACACACACACACACACACCACACACACACACACACACACCACACCACACACACACACACACACACACACACACACACACACACACACACACACCACACAACACACCACACACACACACACACACACACAACACACACACACACACACACACACACACACACACACACACACACACACACACACACACACACACACACAACACACACACAACACACACACACACAACAACACACACACACACACACACACCACACACACACCACACACACACACACACACACACACACACACACACACACACACACAACACACACACCCACACACACACACACCCACACAAGTCATTGCGTGCCTATTGATTTGAACACGATCCGTGTATCCACTTCTCCATGTTTAGTTCTGACTGACAGAAAGCAGACCAGTCCCTGAAGACCTGAGAGTTCTGGATGGTTCATAATGTAGCAGGAGATCAGAAATGTATTTCTTCCCTGAACCATTCAGGGCTTTAGGTGTACTGAAATGTGGTAATAAATAAAACACATTATTATTATTGGTGACTGACTCATTACCTATCAGGTCTTCTAACAACGCAGCAGCAGAGCAGGTTCACTGGTAAATGTGTCTTTGATCACTCAACAACAGATTCAACACAAGATATGTCCACGTATATAGTCTGTGGCTCAGTGTCCCCGTCAGCTAATGAGAGCAGTGTTGGTCATTGTTTGATCTAATATTTTACATACAATGTTTTAACTTGCTACATGAAAAGTAACTACAACTACATCACTGGTTAATGTATACAGTGGATGCAATCATAAACCAACAAATTGGTAATTTCTCCTTTTTAGGTGACGCACCTAGGTGGAGCATATCTGTAGAACACCACGTAATAATGTGTATCAGCTCCTGATGTTACGGTGATACAACACTGTCCATATTAAATTAAAGCCATTATATAATTAGAAAAAACCAACCTTACATACTGTCATGGAAATCACACAAAACCACAAACTGTTCATGAAACACTGTACTTCCAACCAGAAGCCAAATTCAAATCCATAATGAACGTGTCCTTTGCTTCAGTCTCTCTGGGGAGGGTTTGACCTTACCTTCCTTTTCCAAACCAGTTGCTGATGCAGGTCACTACACTGGGCCAGCCGGTGGTCTGGACTAAGCCATTGGCCACCTGAAATCACAAGAGGATGAATAGACATATTCGTTTAACAGTGAGATACACACCCTGTATTATTGTTCTGTGATGCATGGTAAATGAACCTGGGATTATGCACTTGTACTGTATATGTATGCGTTCCCTTTTTTGTGTGAATATTCATCTGTGATTCTCTAGGAATTTGGAGTTGCAGGAAAGTTGATTAATTCTCTCCTGTGGGGGCGGCTGTGGTTGTCCTCCAATCAGAAGATTGGTGGTTCGATCATCTGCAGTCTAAATATACTCAACCTCAAATTGCTCTCGATGGCCAACAATGTGTCTACGAATGTCCTATTCCTTCGGCAGGAGCACCTTGTATGGCCTCTGCCTGTGTATGAATGTGCGTGAATGCTGACTTTTATATGTAAAAGCACTTTGAGGGGTTTCAAAGACTGGAAAAGATATTCAAACAGGCAGTCCAGTAACCATTTGGTAATAAACCTAGAATCTAGATGGTCCTTGTGAAAGAGACTTTATCCTAACAGCTTCTATCATAAACCAACAGCTATCTCTCCTGCAGAGAGCTGAAGAGGATTTCCCCTGTAGCAGATGCAGCTGTTGGTGTCGTACAGTGTGTTCACTGTGTGTGCCTCTGTGGGCTCTTTAGTGCAGTTTCACGACTCACTGATGCAACTCACCTGCACACACACATAGAAGCCCATGCTGTGGATGTTGTAGACATAACCCAGTCCAAACAGGCAGGTGAACAGGCCGCTACTCAGCATGCCCACGGTCAGGTACAGGCGGATAGGCAGGCGCTCACCGATGATGCCGCTGCATGGGTGCACAGTGGTGACATCATGTGAGGCCCAACTTCTAACTCATCAATAATGTTGGTAAATGTCTCCCTACATGCAAGCTTTGTTTTACAACCTTCAACCTTTTGTATGTTCAATCAGAGCACTGCACAGCCTCATAACACTCAGATCCAAAACAAATGATGCAAAAATGATGCAAAAATGGATAAATTCAAACTGTTGATTGGGTTTTATTTTGTATACAGTTGATATCATCAGCTACTACTAACAGGAAGAGGAGCAGTCTATTTCTTCAGAATGTGGTCATGCTGGATGGACTGCATGTACACATAACTGAAAAACATATGCATGCATTAACATTATTTGTATTATGTGGCCAGATACAGATTGTATGTTTAAGTGTTTGAGGTGTAAATGAGGTATGTATTTTAGATATATAAAAGGGTTGAATGCTCTTCCCTAATAACACATGTATCTGATTAATGGATTTCACTGATTGTCAACAGCTTTATGTTTTGATTATTTATGTCCAGTTATTTTATTAATTGAATTTGGTTCTTCTTGCTATCCTACCTGAGGTACATTCCCACAGCGTAGGCACAGAGGAAGGAGTAGTCCATGGCTCCCAGCAGCTGTCTGTAGTTCTTTTTGTCTGAGAACATAACAAATATAAGATTTCTTTCTGTTTACACAAACATGTATGCTTAAGGTAAGTATACTCTCTTTAACCCCCCCCCCCCCCCCGCACACACACACACACACAAAAAGAAGTGAGGAGTGAAGCATATACAGACCGAAAGGCTTCCAGCTACAGTCCATGTCTGTGTGGTGGGACTGCGGGGGGGGCTGCGGGCTGCCGCTGCTGGAGGCTAAGGTGGCGATCTCACTGACAGAGGAGCAGTTCTTATGGAGCTCACTCTGTCAAAAACAATGAGTGCAGCTTCAGTGAACAGACCTGTGTTTACTATCCATACCAGATAGACTTCAAACATGAGTCCTTATTATAGAGGCTCTTCTTCCCAGTGGTGGAAAGTAACTAATTACGTTCACACATGTGAAAGTACTAAAGTACTATTTAGACATATTTGTACTTAAGTATTTACATTTAGTGCTACTATATACTTCTACTCCACAACATTTTTGAGACAAATATTGTACTTTACTCACTATTTATTTAACATCTCATAATTACTAGTTAAATATTAAAACATGTGATATATTTACAAGATAACATAAAATGGAGTTCTGTACTATATAAATACAACCCCATATCCTAAAAAGTACATACAATTGGCTCCACATTGACAAACTACAATATAAAATGTCCATCTGCGTATTTGTTGTGATAAAAACACGATCAAATTAAATATTCGATGCTTACATAAAACTGTGAAAAGAGCTGTTCTGCATACTAAATACTTTTAGTTTTGATGTTTGGAGTACATTTAGCTGTTAATACTTCTGTACTTTTACATAAGTAACATTTTGAATTTTATATTTGTACTTGTTATAGAGTCTTTTTTACTTGTACTTAAAGTGGACCTATCATGCTATATTTGAATAATATATTGTAGGGCCATACCTATATAAAACATGTCTGTGAAGTTTTTTTTTCAAAATACCAAACAGATCATGCATTTTAGCCATGCCTCATTTCGCTCTATTTGCTCTATTCCAGTCCTGTTTTTGCAAGGGCTGATTCTGTGAGAAGTCTTCTTCGCTGCTTTTGTGTCAGACTACAGCGCCACTTACTTATGTACTACAGCGTCTCCAGCGCTTTCGAACGGCAATGGCCGTGGCCCAACCCCCCATTCCCTTGATAGGTGGAGAGTTGCCCATATAGGCGGAGCTCCCTGTTTCTGACGTCAGAACAATTTCAAATCTGTATCAGCTCCGTTGTTCCCCCGTTTTTAGAGATATGGGTATGGAGGAAAAGAGAGAGGGTTGTGTTTTCTGACACTTGGTGAGTTCCCTGACACACCGGGGACACATATTCATCTATAAAAGACGTACAAAAGTGCATTTTGCATGATAGGTCCCCTTTAAGTAAAGGATGAGGCATTTGAGATCATCAATGATATATAGTTTTCAGTGGTATTCAAAAGTCATGAGGCCTATGTTACCTTGACGATGCTAATGGGTTTCCTGGAGAGGTGGAAGCTGGTGTATGAGGCAGGAAGGTGAGGATGAATGTGAGCGCTCTGTACCTGCACAGAGGAAACACAAGAGGGCGTCACTGCATGGTCCTGACAGAGCCCTGCAGCTATAGGCTGTCAGCTGGGGGGGGGGGGGGCAGGCTCAGAAGTTTGATTGGGGTTGTCAATTAATAGTCAGGGTTTTCTAACTCCCAACTCCTCCAGATACTGAAGCCACCATTGTGACATAGCCATCAGTGAGTGTGTGAATGAGCATTCAATTGAAGGATGAGCAGTTTGCAGTCTTCCATTAATGTGTGACTGTGTGTGTAAATGTAGTGATGTCAAAGGAATGGACACCCACACAGACACACACGGACACACACAGACACACACCTTGGGTTATATGTGCTGTAGAACATAGGTGCTGTGAAACAATCCCAGATGAACATTTTATTCCTCTGAATCACTGTTTTGTTCTTGATGAGATGGCTCCCTCTTTTATTCACACTGAAGCTCGCTCTACCACCTCTCACTCCTCTCTCATGCTTGCTGGCGAAGCCGGGAGGGAGGGGCCAACTTTACATGCTGTGTGTTTAGAATGTGTTTATCAGCTGCTGACAGCTATCTCGACATCTCTATACGAGTCTGTTATCCTGCCTCCCTGTAAAAGACAGATGCTGACCACATATACACAATGTATGAGGCAGCTGGATTACAAACTGGTCAGGCAGTTCACACGCATTACCACTATCATGTTTTCAAGGTTACACCCTCCTACATGTTTATACATACAGGATGTCCTGTAACTTAGATGTGTGCTTTTGCAAATCACACTGTTAGCTTAGTCCCTTACCCATGTTTACGCTGTAAACGTACGAAGGCTATAAACCTGATTGTGATTCTAAGGAATGATGTGGAGTACAGTTTAGAGATGATTGCCCAACTGATGCCTGCAGGCCTCGAGTTCTGGTTTGGATTGAGATAGATACATTCACTGGTTTATCAAAGTCACCTGGGCAGCTTGGCTCACATGCAGAGCTTCTGATGAATAAGCATATTTAATCCACTTACATGGAGGGCACTCAACATGAAGCATGGCAACAGTCACCATAGCTACAGTCGTCACACACACACACACACACACACACACACACACACACACACACACCACACACACACACACACACACACACACACACACACACCACACACTACACACACACACACACACACACACACACACACACACACACCACACACACACACACATCACACACACACACACACACACACACACACACACACACACACACAACATCACACACACACACACATCACCACACACACACACACACACACACACACACACACCACACACACACACCACACACACACACACACACACACACACACACACACACACACACACACACACACACACACACACACACACACACACACACACACACACACACACACACACACACACACACACACACACACACCCACACACACACACACACACACACACACACACACACACACTTTGATCGCTGAAAACATGACCTTGAGCTTGTGTGAGTAATAATGTTTATTTTGTCTTCAAGCAGGTTCCAACCAAGAGTTGGAACGGAATAAATGGACACACTGAAGTGTATCATCAATACAAGGACAACCAAACCCAGGTGTGTGTGTGTCATCAAGTTAGACACATTTGCATTGAAGGAATGTAAATAAAATACATTTACTCAAGTATGGTATTTAAGTACAATTTGTTTTACTGAGTATTTTAATGTTATGTTACTTTGGTACTTCTAAGACACCTATTACCTGCACTTTATTTATCTGAAAGCTTAAGTAACTGTACAGATTCAGATTATTAGCTCAAATAGAGTATAAATCAACTTGTAAATTGCCATATTGCCATAAGACTAGGTTAAGATATCCAGCAGCAGTCTACAACGCTTTTAGAATTAGCTCCACCGTAGCTGTGAACACATTCATGCAATTATTATTATCCAGTTATTTAATGTACATGACACTGAAATGGGCTAGTATGCATATGATTACGTTTGGTTCTTAAGTTGTCATCGGTCATCTGATGAATAATCGTTCTACATACTGGTGTCTTACATTCAGTCCAGCCATGGAGAATGTTTCTCTCTGTTCTGTGAGCCAAAGACCCTCAGAGAGTTTAGGCTCTCTTTATAGGCAGTCTGAGTGGGGACAGCAGGTTTTAGTGCTCAGCATATGGATCTGTAGCAGCTCATACTAAACAGAAGTTACTCGTGTCGGGACCCATTAATGCTTGTACTAGTGAGTAGTTTGACCAATACCTACATTACGATTTCAGTTGAGCGCCAGGTTAACCTTCCAACAACAGCACACTTCATGCCACAGTGACAGTCACAACAGACACAGATCTGAATGATTTGAAAATAATAAAAATACCACCATAAAGGTTTTCAATTTGGTATTCAGAGCAGAGTGGTAGACTACTCTACACATGGAGGCCAGCAGCTTACAGCAAGAAGAGTGTAAACAAATTGTGGCGGCCAAATCATAGATAAGTAAAACAGAAAATGTACTTAAAAGTAAAATTGCCGCTGAGGCACCAGATAGCGAATATGCCATACTGGTGCGCTAATCCCACCACCACCTGTCCCCCATATATACAATTACACCAGGTGCCCCAATCACCAGTGCCCAAACATGCCTGTAATTGATCCTACTGTATGGCTACCTGATGAAAGCCCTTGCATTTGCAGTATTACAAACTGGGTGTTACAAAATGTGGCAACATTCATACCTCTTCTCCTTAGCATTCGAAACCAAGTAGATTGTTGCTTTTATTTGCTTTCATTTTCTTTTAGTGGTCTATTGTTTTTACTATATGGCTGTTTTTACTTTTATTTTTGTAATCATTACATTTATTCTGGTTTGTTTTGTGTTCGTACCTTTTATGTGATTTTATACTTATTTTATGTTTTGTGAGCTGAGCTGTGTGATTTGATATTTGATGTATCTCTCTGTACAGCACTTTGGTCTGGAGGTTCTAAAGTGCTTTATAAATAAAGTTGGATTGGATTGGAGTTGGAACATTACCTGTTGGACAGTATGAATCCTCAGCAAATATTGTATTTCATGAAAATATCTAAATAGAATTAGGAAGCCACCAGTTAGGATGTGTCAACACCTCAATTATTAACGTATAAACTTAGTGGCAATTCTAAATTGTAATTATTATCAACACATCTCACCCAAACACCAAAACTGATCCAGCTTAGAAGTCAGCCCACTTTAAGCTTCAGCTATTGTTGTCACTGCTAACTAAAATTCTAACCAGAGCCCTTTCACTTTTATCAGCAGGTGGTCCTGAGGAGAACATGAGGCCCGATCAACTTGTTGGGCCATCAGGCTTGCATCAGTTGACAGTAAGAATGATATTGAACAATAGCAGGATTTTCCTTTAATCTATGTGAATCGGGTATTTCTTTATATGCCTGCCATGCGACCAATAGACGCCAAAGCATGAACCAGAAGACAGTGAAGTGTAAAGATTCAACCAATACACTACGCCGTCACATTTAAAAATGGCAGCCAGAAGCCTGCAGTAGAATGCTGTATGTCCTGTTCCCAGGACTCTGCTGAACAACATCCACTGTTGCGAATGCATTGCCTGACATATGGATGAAATCTTGGTAAAATTCTACCATTTAACAGCTGGCAAACAATTTACACACATTTCACATTGATGGTAAACCGGAAATCATCAACACACACACGCACACACACATTGATGGTAAACCGGAAATCATCAACACACACACACACACATTGATGGTAAACCGGAAATCATCAACACACACACACTCACTCACTCACTCACTCACTCACTCACTCACTCACTCACTCACTCACTCACTCACTCACTCACTCACTCACTCACTCACTCACTCACTCACTCACTCACTCACTCACTCACTCACTCACTCACTCACTCACTCACCACTGGTCCCTGTCGAAGGACACCAGCATGCGAATCCCAGGAGGAACAGCGGCCATGTTTGTACACAGATATTGACAATCTCAGGACGGCAGCGGATGTGGGCTCAGGATGAAGAGGCTGATGGGGTACATGCAGACATGGTGCTTCTGCTCAACTACATCTCAGAGGACACTCCTGGGAGATCATCAGCAAGAGGACACATGTCTGACACGGAATGCGCTGGAGCTGGACGGAGAATCGGAGTCTGAGAAGATGACAAGACAGGGAGAGGGGCGAGTAAAAGGGATCTGAGGAGGAAGGAAGAAAAAAAATGATGAGAGGAGAAATGGTGGAGTTGATAGAGAAGTGAGAGGTAGACAGGGGAATGAAGAAATTGAGGATGTACCACACAATAATCAACTGCACGTTTTCCCAGCTGGTGTCATTTGACATTTGGGTTTGTATAGCTCAGCCTAATCCACATGCTGCCTGTGTCCATCAGAGCACGAAGAGCAGACTCACATGTCAAAGTTTGTCACACACATTTATTAAAGGACAGTGAAACTCTGAGAAGGAACACTACCATCTGTAATAAAGCCGAAAGCAAAGCTCTGAGATGTCGAGGAGCTATCAGAAAATATTAATAATTGGTTACTTTTTTAAAGTCTTGTATTGGAAATGTGCAATGTAAACTGGTTATTAACAATGGTGACCCTGAATTATCGTCTAGGGAATCCTTATCCCCTTACCTGAACATAGTGAAACACACAGTCTGGGCTACAGCTCTGGAATGCTCTGCAGAGAGACTTGATGTTCCAGGAGCTGCATAAACGCTCCTCTGTGCTGCAGCAGAGAGCAGGCAGCGAGGCCACGTAACAGCCGGGGAATCTATCCCAGTCCGGGAGTTCAATCACTGCTGCCATATACACTTGTAGATCATCTCAGTGACATACACGGCTTCCTGCCATACCTTCCCTGCTTTACCAGTGAAGCTTGATTTGATGGCAGTTAACTCCAAAGCACAGCTCTTTAGCTTGGGGTTATCCCAACAAACTGGTGTGTTGTGCTGCAACGTGTGTTGCAACGTGTCTATCTCCCGGCAATAATGTCCAAACGACATACAACCCATCCAGAGAAACAGCGCTGGCAGTGAATGAGACCTTAGATCATTATGTTGACTTGGTCCCCCAGTGTTTACTGAGGCTGAGAGCATCTGGCTGTATCCGGAGCTACAGCAGGAACTATACGGTTATTAATAGTACACTAAATGTTTAGAAACAAAACAGAAGCTCCGGTTATCAATAATGTATCGACAAAGCGAATGCATATCAAAGGAGATACGTAGAAAGACCGTAGCCTACATTAGGCTACGTGTGTCCCCATGCTGGAAACAATACGCTTCCTGCTCGTTGACAGCTAGCTGCTACACCACCGCGGCGGATCACACGCTCCGCGGCGGTCCGGCGGTTGGTTTCTGCTCAGAACCCACCCGAAACCCGCCACCTCTGAGGAGCTTACCTCGGACGGGACAGTCGAAGATTTTGTGATGGTTGTGCCTTCAGTTGAGCGATATATCTTCTACTTCCTTGTTGTGTGAAAGCTAGCAGCGACTGTCACCTCATAGACACTTTCTCACAAAAACACACATACACACACACACACACACACACACACACACACACACACACACACACACACACACACACACACACACACACACACACACACAGCTGGGCAGGGAGCGGGCGGCGCACGCGCTGCTCTGACGTCACATTCAGAGTGTTGTCTGATCTTTGACCAGAGCCTTTCTCTGAGTCATTCATAGTTTCCATCATTGTGACGGCTTCCCTTTACAATATAACCGCATCACAGCAATCGTTCCTGAAGCCCAGGCCGACACCACAGAATCTGACATGTGCAGAATACATCAACAGGACCCAGAATTAGATCAAGGCAATTCTGGGGCAAAATAAATGGCGATAAAAATGGTTCCTATTCATGGTGTATAACTTGTATATAACCCACTGGATAAACCAAGGTTACAAGGTTCTTGTATTTCGTTTGTTAATAATTATTTATTATTTATTTAGTTATTTTATAATATATTTTAGTTTAATGGTCAACTTTTAAGAACAAAGCTCATTAGGCGCGTTCACACCAAGTACTTTGCCGTATTTAGTGCCGGCACTCAGTGCCCCAGCACTTAATACCCCAGGGCACTTATGGCGCATTTCCACTACACGGTCGGCCTCGGCCACACTCGGTACGGCTCAGTACGGCTTGGCCGCGTTGGGCCTTAACAGGGCCGACTCACTTCATGCTGCGCTTCCATTACAGTTTAGGAACTGGGGTAGTTACTATAGCAGGGTTCTTACACCTTTTCCAAAGTCAAATTCAAGCACTTTTCAAGCATTTTCAAGGTGCATTTCAAGCTTTTCAAGCATCTTACAGCTGTTGTAAATTACATATTTATATACACATACTTATACTCAAATGATTATTTCCCTACCTCACATTAAATCAGATGTTCTTTATGCTATAAACAACCAAATGTGTGTTTCATAATAGCATTCTATATGAGGATGAAAAATTAAAGAAAAGAAAACTAAGTTTAATATTTCAAAATGAGTGACCCATCTGTACGTAGACTGGGCATCCCATATAACCTGGCTGAGCCAATATAAAACAATCAGCCAAATAACTTTTCAATATATTATTGATTACTATTTTTGAGGTACTTTTAGGTTGGCAGTAAACACAAGTCAGAGGTAAATGGTGTACTTTGACTCCACTACATGTATTTAATACCTTTAGTTACTTTACAGATGTGGATGAATGATGTGAAATATAATCAAGTGTTAAATCAGACTTTAGTTCCACCTGGAGTAAATTCACAAGCTACTCTGTAGTATACAAAGTCATTCAAACTAGCTGCAACTTTACCAGCTTTGATAACACTTTCATGATCAATCATTATAAAACATATCATATACAATTATTAGGGATGCTCCGATCGCCAATTTTGGGGCCGATCGCCGGAATCAGTATCGGCCGATCCCGCTCTCTTTTCCTCTCTCCCCCTCTCTCTCTCTCCTGACAGCCCGTCAGTATCTCCTGCAGCTCACTGATCCAGTAATGAGCGACCCGACAGTGAAGAATAAATATATTTATAACTAGTTTAGCTTGTTCCAGAGGTAGATAAAATAGCTAAGTGTGTTAGGTCTAACTCTTAATGTGTGTTCTGCTCCGCTCACCGGTCCGTCACAGCGGGTGGAGCTGCAGGATTTCTGCTTCACACACACGTTGGATACCGCTATTTTATTGTCATTTTCGGACACTTAAAATACTGCCAGACTAGTGAAGCCATTTTGGCGAGCTTGTTTTGCCGCGCACAGAGAAAAGTGTCATGTATTTTACATGTAACGATAGCCTAATCTAAAATGCTCTACTCTGGCGTACCTTTCGTGTGGTGTGTGGCGTCAGCGCAGACTCTCGCATCGTTATTGTTGCACACTTTGCAGGAGGCTACTCTTGGGCTTCGCTTGACCCTCGTCTTAGCCATGGCTTGTATTTGTCTTCTGCTAGCCAACGCTCGTTGAAACGGCAACCTCCTGGCATACTGTCGTCTATCACTCTCATCAGAATGCCCAGGTGACACACGTAACAAAAACACTTGCCGGTCACGCGCATTGCGCGGGAAGGCCGGAGCGGAGCTGTTTTATGTAAAAGCGAAGCAATTAAGCGCGCTCCGACTTCTTTATTTTCTTTTAATCTAAAAAGCGAAGTAAAGCATTTACAATTTCAAGCACTTTATCCCAAATTCAAGCACCATTCCCAAAATTCAAGCACTTTTCAAACCTTGAAAACACCTCGTACAATTTCAAGCATTTTCAAGGATTTCCAGCACCCGTACGCACCCTGTATAGTAACGCAGTGTAGGCGGAGCCGTGACGTCATCTTCAATGAGAACTCCAGAAACACAACACAGCCGTTAGCTGTTAGCACTCAGAGCTCACAGCTCCTTATATATGTTCAGAAACTCGACAAAAGTTAAACAAGTACACACCACAGACTGCCTGTGTCATGGTGAATACAGTCGCTGCTTTATTTATGTCTGTATAGGCCGTTGTTGTGAGTGTGGACGGTCAGAGCATATACTGCGTTAGCTTAGCCAATCTCCATCTAGAAAAACACGCATTTTAAAAGGTTTTTCGCCTGCCGTCTGTCTGCAGACTTGACAAAGCATTAATTCATGGTTTTTACTAACCGGTATCAGTATGTTGTTACTTCGGCATCATTTTGAAACGTGTATTACAATTAAATCACGGTCAAATATGTCCATCTTGTTGTAGTTCTAGCCCTCTTGCCAGCGCTCCTCTCTCTAGTTTAGCATACTCAGCCCGACTCAGCCCTGTTTGTTGGCCCCGATAGAACCACAATTTTCTAGGGCCAGAAAAGAGGTGAAAAAGTGGCCCCGCGCCGTGCCGCGCCGGACCTAGGCCTAGTGGAAGCACAACCAAAAAAGGGGACGGCACGACACGGCACGCTTAAAGCGAGCTCCGCGCTGCAGTGGAACTGCGCCATTAGTACAGATCGCGTTTACACCGGAGTACTTTTCCCTGAGGGAAGATTACGCAAATGAGCCGCTGACGTCACTTCGTCTTCTTCTGCTTTGGGTTTACTGGCAGGCCGCAAACAACTTCACGGCGTATGTCACTACCCGATCCGTCCACCTGCCCGATCTGTACTGCGCATGTGTGAGATGGTCCGCCATATTGCACAACTCCGTACGGCAACCCAACTAGGACACTTGACACAGTGGCTTTTGGCAAAGCACACAAAGAAAACTAAAAAAAACGAGAGAGATGAGTTATTGTTATTACAACGTGACTTCACTATTATTTAACAACTATTTTTATTGGGTTCTTTTATTTGGGGTTAAGTACATTGTCAGAATAAGTGAGAAATGGATTTAACTTCTGTTCGACAGCTATATGCCATACATTTTTGAATTGCGCATGCGCCAACTGCCAAGCCGTCCTGGTTTTGAGCGGGATTTCAATGTAAATGTTTCTTCACTGTCACTGTCACACTATAGAGAGGCGAAGTCCCTCCCCTTCCGGTTGAGCTCCATGGGACCTTATTTCGGAAAAGTTATGCATTGAAGTCAATGGAGAGAGAAAGATTATCTTTCGATCCCGTTTGAATTGTGCCACGAATTACACATATGATGTTTGTCAATTTAAAAGATAATTTTACAAGTCAAAACAATTTAAATGTGTCGTAAAACTGTGAAGTAACACTTTTTTTTGTGTGAACCGCTCAATGACCTACATCTCCCGTCTCGCACCACACACCAAGACGGCCGTCACGTTGGCACATTTCACTTCTTTCTTTCAGAATGAGGCGAAAAGTATTAAAAGAGGTGAAAATCACTTCAAGTCTGGGCATGTTGAGAGCTGTACATACACACAAGGGGAGTTACTCGGTTCCGTAAGAGCCAGCGTGCGGGACCGGGATTCTGGGATTTGTAGTCTTTCTAGTTGCGTATTTTTCATAGTCTTATATTTCAACAGTTTTACGACTTTTTTTACATGGAAATTATTATTTAAGATTGACAAACATCATATGTGTAATTCGTGGCACAATTCAAACGGGATCGAAAGATAATCTTTCTCTCTCCATTGACTTCAATACAAACTTTTTCCGAAATAAGGTCCCATGAGTCCCACCGGAAGGGGAGGGACTTCGCCTCTCTATAGAGTGGCGAAGTCACGCCCATCTACTTCCGGTCCATGGGCCTTGTCACTACCCGATCTGCAGCCCTGCCCTATCTGCAGTGCGCATGTGCGAGATTGTCCGCCATATTGCACAACTCCGTACGGCAACCCAACTAGGACACTTGACACGGTGGCATTTGGCAAAGCACACAAAGAAAACTCCGAAAACCGAGAGAGATGAGCTATTGTTATTACAACGTGACTTCACTATTATTTAACAACTATTTTTATTGGGTTCTTTTATTTGGGGTTAAGTACATTGTCAGAATAAGTGAGAAATGGATTTAACTTCTGTTCGACAGCTATATGCCATACATTTTTGCATACATTCACAGTAAATATTTATTCAGTATGATAGCTGTCTAACAGAAGTTAAATCCATGTCTCACTTATTCTAACAATGTACTTAACCCCAAATAAAACAACTCAATAAAACTGTTGTTAAATAATAGTGAAGTCACGTTGTAATAACAATAATCTCTATCAGTTCTTTTTCTGCTTTGCCAAAAGCCACTGTGTCAAGTGTCCTATTAGAGTTGCCGTATGTAGTTGTCCAATATGGCGGACCATCTCACACATGCGCAGTACCGATCGGGCAGGTGGACGGATCGGGTAGTGACAGCGTATACTGCCACCCGGAGTCCCCGGCCGGAAGTCCCTGGAGTTGGGGACTGGCTTCAGTAGAAGCTGCTGGGACTCCCAGCAGCTTCTACTGAAGCCTTCCGAGTAAATCGCCAGAACGCCGACACCTCCTCATCTACACCGCTCCCATGTTTTCTTTTGTGTTGCCATAAGTTAGTCTCTCTGCGTTTGTACACTGGGCGAATGCTAATGCTAATAATGCTAATGCCAGGATAATAAAATGGCGGCTCTACAAAACATTTCAGAGTTGTACGGGGCGTGGTTTGCAATTC